GCTTTGTTCAGTTAGCCAAGCAAATGAGAAAGAGAGAAAGGAAGACCATCCCTGCTGAATCTTTAATGTTTTCTATTTCTTACATATTCATCTTGAAAACTCAAAACATTTCTCACTAGCTGAATCTCAAGTATTAATTCAAAACCACTTTTTCTCTCCATGATCCCATGCTACAAAGTATAGCTGAGAAAAATGTGAGAGCATAAAACAGTGACTTTCCTGTCTGAGGCTCAGTCGACAAACAGGCAAAGTGAATTTTACCAAACTTCCTAAAATGAGTAACATAATGTGAGCACTGGTCCTATGGCAATGTTATGAAATGAGATGCCTATCACAAGGGTGCTCCAGGGAAAACCCTGGGAGAAATTTGCAATTGTCTTGATCTAAATACAACTGGAGAAAACTACTAACATCTAATAAAAGATAAACTAAAAAATTTTGAATTTTACCCAAATTAGATAATAAAGAAATTAAAATTTATTGACTGTCTATTATTTATTCTTCCACCACATTTATTGGTTGTATATAAAGTGTCAGAAATTGTGTTAGGTGCTTTCACATGAACTGTTTCATTTAGTAAACAAACTTATAAGGTACAACTTAATTTATAGATGAAAGCCGCGAAACTAACAGAACCTTTTATGCAAGAGGTATTTATTAAGGGTTTGTTATATACTGGCACTTTTCTATGCACAACAGCCTATCATAAATATTTCAGGAGTTCAGGGTGAGAGTATGCTTTGAGATATCTACACCTCATGTCTGAACTTAAAATTAGGAACAGTGATATTTGGAGCTAGTTCTTATCTGATCAAGAGAGCTGATTATACACATCTCTTCTCAAATTCACTTTCAGTAATATTGCATAGCAGATTGAAATCAGCTAAGGTGGAAGTATCTGACCATTTTAAAAGGTCACCTATCTTCATTACTTTTCTCATTGCTGATACAAAATACCTGACACCCAAAGTTAAAGGAGAAAAGGTTTACTTCACCTCACAGTTTACGGATGTTTCAGTCCATAGTCAGCTGATTCTAAAGCAGGGCAGTGTAGCAGAGGGCCATTGCAGAGGAGAAACAGTCCATGGCATGGCAGACAGAAAGCAATGACGTAGCAGCAACAAACCTCCCTTTCCCTTTATATTCCACCCAGGCTACACCCTATTGGCTGGTGCCACCCACACCCAGATGGGGCTTCTGTCATCAAGAAATCCATTCAGCCACACCCAGAATTATGCTAAACCAATGAGTAGACTCATCCAATACCACACACCCTTAATCCCAGTATCAACACCCATGATCCAGCCACCTCTCAAAAGCCCTACTTATGAGCACATGAGGCTTTGGAGGGACATCTAGATACAAGCCACAATACCATCACTAAAATTCAGTACCTGTATATTTGTTGTTTGTTTTCCAAAAGCCTCTTGTGAAGTGTTTACTTGCAAAACACTGTGTATAAAACCTAGCTGTTACATAAAATAAGTTCTATCCTCCAAACTTGAAATGCATACCTTCCTAATAACCCAGGAGGCCAAGTTTTAATTTGGTCCCAGATTCCATGTTGTTCTACAGCAGAATTTGGCAGAAAAGGGAAAGAGTCATTCCCCAGACTCCAGACCCCAGATGCGGGCTGAAGTCCCAACTCTCCCTGCTTCTCATTCCCTCTGAGTTCTCATCACATGCTGGGATAAAGTTCATGTCAACACCAGGAGACAGTCCAGCACACTCATCTGGCCTCATTGTTACACAAGCCATGCTCAGGTGAAGACCTGCCCTTAGACCATCCCCTCGGACCTTGCTCTGTCTCCAGGCAGGGCCCTGTCCTTATCGATCTGACATCGGAAACACGGGCCAAGGGGTCACAGGGTGGCCCCCAACAGGAGTGGCACCCCTCACATGTTTAGGAAGCTTCTACAGCTTGTGAATAGGTGTGGTCTCACTTCCTCCAGGTGAGATCCACAGTATCAATACTGAATGCTACTTCCGGCAGCACCCTGAGAGACAGATGGGAAAGCAAGCTGAAGACCATAAAGAGCTGACGTAAATAGGAGAGGGCACTCAAGGGAATGCTTATTTTCATGTTTCACAATCTTTTGTTTGATTTTTGGTATTGGGGATTGAACTCTGAGACTTCACATTGATCTAAATCCCCCTGTCCTCCTACCACAGCCACCCAGAGATATGGGGTTATAGGCATGATGTTTTTCCATCCTAAGAAAGGTTATTTATTTATTTTAATTGAAGTGTTGTTTTAAAAGTAAGTATTACAATGTGTTGCTTTGATACATGTGTATATTATGAAATGATTAAGTCAAGCTACTTAACATCTATTACCTCATACACTTACCATTTCTTTTTCTGGAACATTTAAGATCTACTGTCAGTGATTTGAAGAGACCTTGTCTGAAAATAAAAACCAAAAAGAAAGGGCTGGGAATGTAGGTCAGTGCAAAGGCCCTGGCCTCAATCACACACACGTGCGTGCATGCACACGCACACACACACACACACACAATGCTGTCCTTTAGCAATTTGTATGTAGATATTGTTATTAATTGTAATCACCTGTATAATAGATGTCCTGAACTTGTTCCTCCTGTCTAGATGAAATTTTGTGCATTTGATCAGCATCTTCCCAGCTGCCCACACCATTCTCTGGCCCCTGAAAAACCACCATTCTATTCTGCTTCTGTGAGTTTGATGTTTTTAGATTCCACGAGTAACTGAGAAGATGCACTATGTCTTCCTGGGCCCAACTTATTTCCCTCAGCACAATATTTCCTAAGTTCAGCCAAGTTGTCACAAATGACAGGATTTCCTTCTTTTTAAAGGTTGAATAGTATTCCTGTGTGCATGTTTGTGTGTGTGATTTTGTTTTTCAGTTCTTCTGTTCATCTATGGATGGACACTTAGGTCATACCCAAGTCGATGGATATGACCCACAAATAAACAGGGAACAAAAACAAGGACAAATGGGATTGCACCAAAATGAAAGGCTCCCAAAATGAAAGGAAACAATCAATAGATTGAAAAGACAACCTGTGGAATAATGGGATAAAATATCTGTAAATCAGGTATTTAATAAAGGGTCAATATCCAAAGTATATGAGAAATTCAAATCAATAGCAAGAAAACAAATAGCAGGTTTTTAAATGTTAAAAACCCCAAACAGATATTTCTCAAATGAAAATATACAAATGGCCAATAGATATATGAAAAATCACTAATCAAATAAAGCTGGAACAGAATTTGTCTAATGTATTGCAAAAGTTGCTATAAAGAACCAGATGTGGAGTAAAATAGCTGTCTGTATTTCTGATTTGTTGTTAAATATCAAAATAAAAACGAATTACTACTTCTGGCTCAAGAAATCACTGATCACCAGAGAAATGAAAATTAAAACCATCATAATGAGCTATGATTTTACACTGTTAAATTGGCTTATCACAAAGTGAAAGATAAGTATGCGCAGAATATGGAGAAGAGAGAACCCCTGCACATTGCTGGTAGGAGTGGAAATTAGGACAACCACAATGGAAGACAGCATGGCAGTTCCTCCAAAAATGTAGACATAAAACGACCATGAGCCAGCAATCCCAGTCCTGGGTATCCATCCAGAGAATGTGAAGTCAGTATTTCAAAAAGACATCTGTATTCCATGTTCATTTAAGAGGTCTCTTCCACTAAAGCAGAGCTTGATTTGCTTATCTATTTGTAGAAATTGATTTTACATGCAAATGTTTTGATTTATATTTATTAGTCCACTGTGTATGCAGCACATCATGCTCAGTCCTCGTGTGGGGCTGTACGTGTGCTCAAACATCTTAACACCTTTTTGCATCCCACTTCCCCCCTCCCCCATCTCATCTCCTGATCCCCTCCCTCTCTGAGAAAGACCTCTCTCCCTACTTTCTATTGTCTATCTTTTATTTTGCTCTTCATTTAGACTTTGGGGTTCTCATGTAAGAGGAACCACGTGATATTTAAGCTTGTGTGTCTGATTTATTTCACTTAACATTATGGTTTCCAGGTGCATCCATTTTCCTACAAATGAGTCCAGCTTTTCAAATTTTTGATGAGTGTGTGTTTGTGATACATACAGTGACCTTCACGTGGGCACATTTTTAAGCTTTATTGGCAGGTTGATTAGCTGATTTGTTTGTTCTGTGTTTACGTACTCCATCAGAAACCATGTTCATGCAACAATTTTTTCAACAACTTTCTTAAACCTGGAACAGAATTTACCTAATTTATTTCAGAAGTTGTTCCTGAAGCACAGGATGGGAGGTAAGAAATAGCTGTTTGTGTTTCTGATTTGTCAGGAATTATCAAAACAGAATTAACCAATTGCTCCGCCTGGCTCAGCTTGGTGTCCTTGGGCCACCCGCACCCTCCTCCCAGACCGGGGAGAGAGCCTGCTGTTGTCTCTGAACACGAGTGTCAGTGATTCCACTGGAGACCTGGGAAAGGAAGGGAGGTGGCGGAGGTGGCCCCAGAGGCAAGGACAGTTTCCGTTTTACTTCGAGAGAAGCCAACGGACCCTGGCTGAGGGAGGGGACCCGGCAGTTCTGGAAAGCTGGGCTGCTTTGAGCAAGACCCCAAAGAGGGTCAGGGTCTGGGCCTGGGTCTGGGCTCTCCCTTCTCCCTGTCACTCTGCACAGACCTGTTGTTCTCTCTGAGTCTCGCAGCAGTGTGTCCTTTGGGCAAGAAGCGACAGGTTGCAGGCCGAGACTGCTGCTGAGCCTCCCTGGGGAGGGCGATGGTGTGGGAGGGGGCAGAGGCCCTGCTGGGCTTTACTTCTCAGCTCAGACTCTGCTAGGGGACCCTGCTAGGGACTGGGCCCCGGGCAGTCCCGCAAGCGCTCCCGCGGTGAGCACCCCCCAAGTGCACGCCTGCCTGCCAAGCTCTGGTCCCTGGCATGGTGCCTCCCTGGCCTTGCCCTCTTGTTGCCTGAAGGGATGTGTGTTGTGAGTCAAATCACTGGGCAACCGAGTGCTTTGAGAAGGGCTCCATGCTCTCAGGCAACTACTGTTTACTCCAGCCAGGACTGGGGAGAGAGGGGGGTGCCAGCCTGAGGGGACGGGGCCAGCCTTCTCAGCAGCCCCTTGTCTCTCCAAAGAGGCTCACACTGCAATAGTCCTCAGGCAAAGAGCTGCCGCCTCACCTCTGCTCAGGGAGCGCTGGTAGCTCCTCCCGTTCCGTGCATATCTCAGTGCCCAAATGAGTTTTGCAATAAAGGAGCTGTCACTGTGCATAGGTGGGAAAGAAGTGTGAGAGCTCATTCGCTTGCTCCTGCTGCTGCTGTTGGCCCAAGGACGGGAGAGACAGGACAGGTGAGACGCGTTCTTCCTTCCATCAGGAAAAGCTCTAACCTGGGCGTTGCTTCGCACTGACTCCTGGGGTTCCGTAGTAGTTAAGGTACTTTCTCTTGCTATCTGCTTTTCCTCCAGGCCATAAAAGCTTTTGACTTCTCTGTTTTTAAACCTCCAAGCTCCTTTCTGGAGTTGCTGCACCTTCAGAGTGAGACATCCCTCCTCCTTATTTGCAAGCCTCTCTGTGTCTGGGGAAGGACACTTCCCAGAGCCGCCAGAAACAAGGACCGGGCTGCAAGGGAAACTGGGGCAGAGCAGCCCTGGGGTGTGACAGACAAGCAAGGCTCCCTCCCCAGGGACATCTAAGAACCAAGCTGCAGTGTTCTTTGCTTGGTGAGTGTTGTGTGGGTCAGCACCTGGTGCACATGTGTGACTAGTTATGGCTGAGCTCAGCTTTCTCTTACTTGAGCGAGGGCTTGTGGATCCAGGTCTATGGTTTGGAGGTGGGGAAAGCATCCAATTGGAACTCCGGTCACGTGGCACTCAGAGCCCTGCAGCTCCAGGCCGATGGTCCATGGGCCTGGAACAGCCTTGGTTTTGGAATGCATGCATCTGACTGCTCCCTGGCAGCCTGCCTTCTCCAATTGTGCTCGACTTAGTCTGGTCGTCAAATTACTTTGCGAACCCTAAGCTGACCCAGAAAGTATGCAGAAGGGGTAGAGAGAATCCTGTCTAAGAAAAGCAGACTGGTGATGAAAGAAAGAGGATTGTGACTGGATTTTTGAAATTTCCCAAAGAAATGTAGATGTGTATTGATCCTCTCTCTGTTCACCCCACAAGCTTCTTAAAACACTGGTCCCTGTGGACACTTTGAATCATTTTATTTTCTTAAAGAAGGAAGTTCAAGGAGAGATATTAAGGGTTTTAGGAATTGATTTGCTCAAAGACATAAGATTTCTCATAACAAATGTATGGTTTGGTTGAAAGAAGTTAGAAGTCTGTCCGTCTCTGCAGTGCATCCATAAATAAGTGTCTTAATCATGTGAGTTCCAATCTGAAGGGGTAATTCGGTGAAGCTAATATTTTCCATTTTATAACCTATGGAAAATATTTTTGCATGGAATTTAATACTTTAAATGGGTTAGCAGGCAGAATGTGGAACATTTCAAGGGAGTAGACTATAGAATTCATTATTTGCACGAGGATATATTCACAAATTGTTTGTCCCTCAGCCAGTCGTTGAATCAGAAGAAGTAAAAGTAAATAAGTAAAAATAAAACTTAAGCTAAAGGGACTTAGGTACCTGGTTTCATGAGTTAGAGTGTGTATGTATCCAAATGATATTAAAAGTTCAGGCACCACAAATACAATCTGGTTAACTTCTACCCTTCCAAGGGGAAATTAATTCAGTTTTATGATTTAAAGTTTGAAATATAAAAGAACTGTGATAATTTCAAGCCTGTATTGGTACAACATCCAAAAAACCTCTTCCTGCCTTCTCCCTCCAATCTGAAATATCAGATGGTGAGGTCAACTAATACCAAAGATCTTGAGACTTAGCTAATATTTTAATATATTTTTAATAAGTTGAAGTTTTTGCCTGGAAAATGATTCCACCCTAAATTTTCCACCATGTAGTAGTATGTCAAAATTCCTATTTGCCCTGTTTTGAAGTCGGTTACTTTTCCTTCCCAAGCTTAAGATCATCTATCAAATGAGGGTGAAATCTCAGAGGGCTTTCTGGGAGCTTGTGTAAGGCTACTGCAGAGAAACCATCTACCGCAAGGCTAGGACACAATATTTGCTGAACAAATGGCTTTACACACACATCTCACACACGTACCCAGGAGATTCACCTTCCTTTCATTTCAATCATTTGCTGATCCTACCTCCTGGGTGCTGGAAGTCCAACTCTCCTACTGCATGTATCCTACTGCATGTCAGCAGGTCTAATAACATACCCTGAGGATGAAGAGATGGATATTGGCCAGTAGTGACATTTGATCACGTGAGCCATGATGTTCTTCTCTATCATTATTACTAGAGACACTCATGCAGCCCCTTATTCTGGGGATTAGTAACCGGGTAGATGAATCAATCCTCTCAGGTACATTTCATTAGCCTGCAGTTTTAATTTTATGTATAGTAGCTATGAAGTTTCCGCCCTCGCCTTTTGGAGAGTACCCTCCAAAGCCTATGATTTGAATTAGTTGCAATTAACATTTGAGGAATTTCTGCACCCTCCTCAGAACTAGAATGCTTCACCTGTTCACTGGGCTGGGAAACCCAGGTGTGGGGCAGGCATTCCACTAACCAGCACAGCAGGCTTGAACAAATTACACCTCCATTTCCGAGCCTCCTCTTCTCCTGCCTGCCTAATCAGAGCCAGGGCACCAGTGGTCCTTTCTGGCTCTATCAACTCTAGCTCTAAGTTATTTTTAGTTCCAAGATCAATGCACAAACCTAACTTTCAAATATACTTTCTTGATTCCAAACTCTGCTGGAGAAATCAGGGGACAAATGGGAGCTTATAAAATTCAGGAGAGAGAAAAAGACAAATCCCACACCCATCACCAAAGTAAGGAAAGCTTCGAAACAATTTAGTTGTGCCAAACAGAAGCCTCAGATAAAAGCCCTAATCGGAAGAGGAAAAATGTGGTTGGTTATTAGGTAAGAAAACACAGATGCAAAGAAACATTGGGCAATGGTATAAAATGAAATGAAAACTATCCCATCAGATAGGAAGCTCCCAAAATTCAAAAGCTGTTTTGCAGGACAGGCAAAGCTAATCCCTCCCACCAGAACTAATCTGATATTTCATAAACAAAACTGTAATTGTAAGGAGAAACAAAATACTAATTAAGTATAAAATAAATATTTTCATTTTATAGGTATTTGCCAAAGAAATCCCACTGACAAAAAAAATGTACTTTCTATAGCTAGGAGTACATATTATTTTCTTTTCTTCAGAAAAACACATAGCTTATGCACTAAATAAGTTGCCATGATATTTTAACTGGGCCCAAGTCTTCATTGGGTGGGTGAAACTGAACAGCAAATTTCAACAAATCCTCCTCGTGCACAAGCTTGTGAATTCTAAAAAGGTATTTACCTTTACATATTGTTGATCACTGATGTTTTTTCTTTTTAAATTCTCATCATCTTTGCCCCAAGAAAGCTTTACAAAACCCACAAAAGTTAAATTTCCCATCACACCATGATTTTGCTCAGGTTACCATTTCTAACCTAAGAAAGAGAGCAGGGAGAGCAGAATGGCCACCAACTCCCTGCACAGATGCCTAGATAAATCCTCAGCAACACCCAAGTCTCTCCAGTTCAGGCCTGCGTGACTCAGTCTGATGTTCCTGCTCTCTTGACGTACCTTCCTTAGGACATCTGTTTAGCCAGAATGTTGGACAGGAGCAGACTATCAGGTTCCCCTGATGACCAGAAATGTGCTTTTCCCTGTCTAGGTCAAACACACTGGGTAAAAGAAAAACAAACGATATACAAAGCCCACACTAGTCTGGCATGTGCTCCGTGTTTGTTGGTGTAGATGTCTGCAGGTGTGACGGCTTCAGCAGTAGCTGTGGCACCAGCATGATGCCGTCTTTAACTATGGGGGCAATGTTCATCATGATGGAAAATGCACCCCTCAAACCTAGATCCTCTAGGTGCCAGCACTTCAACCTTTAAAAAAGTCTTTCAACCAATACAATTTAAAACTCATGAATGAATATTATTGAAAATGAATTGAATTTAGAATACATACCAACACATACAGAATTTTGATGATAAAAATTAATAAGAAGAATTTTAATTGTCTCATTCTTAAGATGAACATCTACTGGTGTGATATATCAGACATAAAACTATCATACATCAAATATCATCTGTGTGTGATATTCCCTGGCCCGTTTCTGTTTATGCTTATTTTGGCAATGACAGTAGATTTTTGTTTAGATTACCATGAAGATTCAATGAGTCATTATCCACAAAGCACTTAGAGCAATGGGTGGCATAAAGAAATCATTCAATAGATGCAAACTCTTAATTCTACTACTACAATTACTGCCACTTCTACTACTACTAATACTACTGTAACCTTACTTTCAATGTCATTAAAACTGGTGCTTTTTATCTTAGTTATTTTTTCTTCAGTCTTACTGAATTATAATTGACAAATGCAAATTTACATATTTATGGCACTCAGGATAATGTTTTAATATATGAGTACATTGTGAAATAATTACCATAATCAAGTCAACAACTAAGTCTATCCTGCATATTTTTATAATTTGTGTGTATATAGGGAGAACACTTGGGATGTAACTCTGTGAAATGGCCAGTGTATAATACGGTATTAATCATAATCACTGTACTGTGTTAGAACCACAGAATTTGTTCATCCTGCATAACTGAAACTTTTTAGTCTTTGACTATCTCCTCATTTCTCCAACCCACAGATCTTATTCTTGCTGCCTATATGAGCTCAGCTTTTGTGGGTTCCACATGTAAGGGAGATTGCACAGCACGTGTGTTTACCATTTCACTTGATGTGATGCCCTCCAGAAGCATCCAGGTTGTCACAGATGGTTAAATGCCCTTCTCCTGTGTGCCCGAGTGACACTTGGCTGCATGTACAGGTGCCTTATTTTCTCTACCCATGCACCCATCAGTGGACACTTAGGTGCATTCCATATCTTGGCTACTGTGTACATGGGATCACAGATGTCTCTTCAACTTCGATCCCATCTCCTTTGGACATATTCAGTAGAAGATTGCTGGACCACATGGTAGTTTCAGTCTTAATGTTTGAGAAGTCTCCACTGTTTTCCATGGTGGTTATACTAGTTTATATTACTCCCTTCATGTCCTCTCTGACATGTTGCCTTTTTTATAACAGCCATTCTAACAAGTGTAAGGTGATATCTTATGGTGGCTTTGGTTGGTATTTCTTTATCATAATTGATTGAGCATTTTTCATAGACCTGCTGTTTGAGAAATGTCTATTCAAGTCGTTTATCCATTTTAATACCATCATTTATTTTCTTACTGTTGAATTGAGTTTCTTATTTATTTTAGATATTATCAGATACATGATTTGGAAATTCTTTCTCCCATTGTGTTTTGTTGCCTGTGCTTTTCTGTTCATAAGAAAATATCATCACATAGGAGCCAGATGTGGTGGCTCACATCAGTAACCCCTTCATTCCGGGAGGCTGAGGCAGGAGGATTGGAAGTTTGAGCCCAGCCTGAGCAACTTAGTGACTTAACTTAGTTACTTAACTCTCAAAAGGTAAACAAACAAACAAACAAATAAGGGCTGGGAATGTAGATCAGTGCAAAGGTCCTGAGTTCAATCCCTAGAACCATAATTAAAAAAAAAAAAT